CCTGTTCACACCGCAGCGGCGGCGCGTCATAGCTCCGGAATGCGGTTCACTTCCAGCTCCAAAAAATTGTCGGTCCAGAGGCAAGAGCTTCGGAGCTATGACGCGGCGTCGCTTACGTCTCTTACGTCGAGGCGTGCAGGAAACCTTACTTTGACCATCCGTTCGCTGTTATTGATCATTGTGGAGATACATGGGCTGTACAGGTTGTCATGTCCGACTATCACAAGTAGAATCATAATGAAAAAATACGCCGGTAAAATGTGCCTGTAGAAAACGGCTTAGCAAGTAGTCAGTTTAGCTTCGGTTGCTATGCTAACATCACCCATGTTATACCAGAGAAACTTTCATAACAGCGTTGTGATGCCAAACAGCGTCAATTCAGACTGACACACATTCACTTAAGGGGAACTGGGGATATGTATCAGCTGCTTGTGTGACAGTCAGACAGTGAATACTTTAGAGCCGTGTGAGCTAACCCGGAGCTAACGGGAGAATAAACTCCTGTGGAAGTGCAGCCAGCACTGCAGCGGTCGGTAAATGCCGCTGAAACACATTAATAAACAATGAACCACGGCACTCTGGAGAAAAGTATAAGGTTGGAGAAGTCGTTATTTAATTTAATCTGGCTTCGTATGATTAAAAGCAACACGATCATCGACCCGACGCAGTCCCCGGCCCGTTGTTGTTGTGGGAGAAAATCAGCGACGTAAACTGTGACGTCATGACGCAGCAGCGGCAGCTCTGGGCAGTGTGAACAGAGCGGGAGCTGAAAAGGGAAACCGGAGCTGAACCAGAAAAGCTCTCGCTAGGAGCTAGAAAGGGAAAAGCGCTGGTGTGAAAGCCGCATGAGAGACTCAGGTGAGCTAAAGGACTCTCTGAGTGTTTAGATACATAACTTTAGTCTAAGTTATCTCAGTGGGTCTCAAACGGTTTGGTCACAAATTATTCAAAAGATTATTTCCGCGGCACACCTTCATATGATCATTATAGTTATAAAAAAAATAAGAGAATAAAGGAAAAACAGTTATGAAATACTATATGGCAGTAAAACAAGAATAGAGTTTAAAAGGGGAGTGATTAGTAAAATATCCATAAAGAAAAAGTAAATCTGTTTACAGTTCTGCTTCATATGGGTGTTGAGAGAGGTGTCCATAGATCTCTTCATTTTGCTCTCAAAGTGCACCAGATTGATGCATTTAACTTCAATATTTAAAAAAAAATCTTCCCAGGGGAGCATCCCCCCCGGACCCCCCTAGAGGAGGTGAGCCCCCCACTCATAAAAAATACCACTTTACCCCTGCCTATATGCCGTGAGCTGATTATCGAGCCTTCATTGTAACAGTCGCGGGTGTACTGTGTGTGTGTGCGTGTGGGGAGTGTTGCAGTAGAATATTCCACTGTAGTGCCGCCGCCACTGTGGGCTAAGCCCCGAATGTTTTCAGGTCCAGGCGACGCCCCTGCTTAAGACAACATTGTGTTTTTTGGCGAGGGATGCGTTGCCATGGAAACGGCATATGATGACATCCCATAATTGGCGTAGAGCTGTTGAGGGCCGGACCATTAGCCATCATCTGATGTCTGGTGCCGTTTGGACGTTTTTCCAGTGAGTTAGGACAACACAGTGTTTCATGGCGAGGGATCTGTCGCCATGGCTACGGCATATGATGACATCCCATAATTGGCGTAGACCTGTTGAGGGCCGGATCATTAGCCATCATATGAAGTCTGGTGCAGTTTGGATCATTTTCCATTGACTTAAGATAACACTGTGTTTCATGGCGAGGGATGCGTTGCCATGCAAACGGCATACGGTGAGATCTCAGATTTCTCGTAGAGCTGTTGAGGGCCAGACCATTAGCCATCATCTGAAGTCTGGTGCAGTTTGGAACCTTTTCCATTGAGTTAAGACAACATTGTGTTTTTTGGCGAGGGATGCGTTGCCATGGCAACGGCATATGGTGACATCCCATAATTGGCGTAGAGCTGTTGAGGGCCGGACCATTAGCCATTATCTGTAGTCTGGTGCAGTTTGGATCATCTTCCATTGACTTAAGACAACATTGTGTTTTTTGGGGAGGGATGCGTTGCCATGGAAACGGCATATGATGACATCCCATAATTGGCGTAGAGCTGTTCAGGGCCGGACCATTAGCCACCATCTGAAGTCTGGTGCAGTTTGGACAATTTTCATAGGAGTAACGGAAACATCGGGTGTTTTGGCGAGGGATGTGTTGCCATGGAAACGGCATATGATGACATACCATAATTGACGTAGAGCTGTTGAGGGCCGGACCATCAGCCATCATCTGAAGTCTGGTGCCATTTGGATGATTTTCATAGGAGTAACGGAAACATCGTTTTTTTTGGCGAGGGATGCGTTGCCATGGAAACGGCATATGGTGAGATCTCAGATTTCACGCAGAGCTGTTGAGGCATGGACCGGTGATATAAAAGTGAAGATTGGGGGACGATGGGACTGTGCCCATTGGATTTACAGCGACACCGTGTTTAATGGCGAGGGATGCGTTGCCATGGAAACGGCATATGATGACATCCCAGAATTGGCGTAGAGTTGTTGAGGGCCGGACCATTAACTGTCATCTGAAGTCTGGTGCAGTTTGGAACCTTTTCCATTGATTTAAGACAACATTGTGTTTTATGGCGAAGGATGCGTTGCCATGGAAACGGCATATGATGACATCCCAGAATTGGCGTAGAGTTGTTGAGGGCCGGACCATTAACTGTCATCTGAAGTCTGGTGCAGTTTGGAACCTTTTCCATTGACTTAAGACAACATTGTGTTTTTTGGCGAGGGATGCGTTGCCATGGATACGGCATATGATGACATCCCATAATTGGCGTAGAGCTGTTGAGGGCCAGACCATTAGCCATCATCTGAAGTCTGGTACAGTTTGGATTATTTTCCATTCACTTAAGACATTGTATTTTAATGGCGAGGGATACGTTGCCATGGCAACAGCTTTTGTGGAAAACTCACTTTTGTCATATTGAGGTGTTAAGGGCTGGACCATTAACTGTCATCTGAAGTCTGGTGCAGTTTGGACCATTTTCCATTGACTTAAGACAACATTGTGTTTTATGGCGAGGGATTCGTTGCCATGGTAACGCCATATTAAGTAACATAAAATTTGACGTAGAGCTGTTCAGGGCCGCAGTGTTAACCATCATGTGAAGTTTGGTGGCGTTGTGAGCATGTCAGTTGGAGTTATGACATCATCGTGTTCCATGGCGTTTGATGGGCCTAGCATCGAGCGAACGCGAACTTTGGCGCCAAATCACGGCTGCGCCGTGCGAAAGAAAAAAACTTCCGTGATAACTTTGAATTGCCCATGTCTGGAGATGCTACCCGACGAATTTCGAGTCGTACGGATAAAGTCCCTGGGAGAAGATAGATTTTGCGCGGAGGACGAGAAACGCGATAAATTTTTCGACGCCAAATTCAAAATGGCCGACTTCCTGTACGTTATTTTTTACCCCTCCAAGAGGCTTTTTTGTTTGTCTCCGCACCCTAGATATGCGTAGCGAGTTTCGTTCGTTTACGTGAAAGTTAAAGTGGGGGGAGTTTACGTTAAAAACGGAAGTGGGCGTGGCCTACGCAATTTTTTACGCAAAGTTCCGGAACCAATTACATATCTCAAGTTGCACCACTTCTGACGCGCGTGCAACATTTGGTGAGTTTTCACATGTGTTGCGGGGGTCAAAGGTTTATCGGTCGCTGCGCGACCGATTTCAATAGGGTCTTCGCCGACCTAGGTCTCAGACCCTAATAATTAGGCAGATTTTGTCCATAGCAGCGTACACATATCTGTACACACACAGCGAGGAACTTGGTTTTGCTCAAAGACACTTGGACAAGCAAACCAGAGAAGCCGGGAATCAAACTCACCACCTTAACTCCCCCAAAGTACACATTTATTTGAATGTGAAGACAGGGTGATTGCCTTTTATTTTAAAACTATTGGTATGAAAGATATATTCTTAAAATAACCAAATTGCATTATAAAGAATAACGCAATAGTCCTGCTATATATATCCTAGCTTCATTAAGGTTTTAAAATTTAGTTTTGGATGATGCAGTTTGTGGTTCTGTTGAACTGTAATAGGTTATAATGAATCAAGAGTTTTGACTATTTACTCTACATGTATAATATATTGACTAAACATACCGACAGAAACATGGTGAAAAAAACCCATAGTTCAAAAGCACCAGATTGATCATGACTAATCAACGTGTCTCGGATACAATGTGAACATTATGACCTTCATTGAGGTAAGAATTAATGTAGGGGTGAAGTATTAGAGTGGATAAAAGTGTCATCTTAAACCGTGTACCAATACAACATAGTAATTGTGTATATTATGTTGTATATTATTTTCTCTACTTTAGCTTTTTATATATACGATCAAATCAATATAATTAACTGTTTTATACTAACAGGAAATTATATTGAGGTTTTGTTCAAAGAGCAGCTCCTCCTTTCCTGTATGCAGTGCATTGTGGGACAACAGCATCATTTTATAATTCATATACTGACTGTTTTGAGTATGCCTGATTTTGTGAACACACACACTCAACACCCGTCTGTATTTCAGATTGAAGCTCCACTGCAGTGAGGCATGTGTGAAGGTTCATCACTGGGTGGCAGTAGAGCTTCACGGTGGATGAGAGCCAATCAGCTGCAGCTGTGGTTTGTGATCCGAGGTAAAAGCCTCAGTGACTCCTGACTGTACAAACAGACGGCTCTGAACAACCAAATATTAACGCCTGCCAGAGAAAAGGTGTCCATCCTGTTCAAAGTGAGGCATCGATTGGTCTCAGTGTCAAAAGGTCAGACTCTCCTGAGGCCTGAGTCAGCACACAGATCTACATTCAGCAGGAGAGCAGCGATGGGCTGTTTGGAAGAGATTGGAATAATAGGTGCGTAATTTACTGCTGTAAAGCCTTTTATATTCATTTAGGGTCGAGTAAATGATGAGATAACAAACTTGTTTATTGTCAGTTTGAACATTGGTTAACTGATTAACTTGTGAAAAACTAGAAAAGCAGAACAAAGCTTGATGTACATGTTACAAACAGAACTTGTGTGGCCGTGGTTACAACATGAACACGGTCCCAACACGAGCTGCAGAGACCTCACAGCTGATTACAGGGACTTCATAATCCTCGTCTCCTGTGGCTTTATGCTAATGCTATTACTAAAGATAAACTTAAAATCAGGGTCTCATCACTCAAAAATCAAAATGCAATTAACCTAAAGGCGCGAGCGTCCCGGCTCAGCGTGAATCTCTTTTAACAGCGAACACGAGCCTCTGTGACGCAAACAGAGGATGAGGTCAGACTGCAGCACAACAGAGCCGGGTGCAGCCTGGAGTCACGCTGCACCGGCAAACAGCTTAATTGTAGAGGTACTGTGAGATGAAGCGATGCAACTTCTTCCGGTTCTCTGACAACTGGAACAAAGGGCCGACACCCAGGAAGACGCCTCCTCTCTGACGCTGCTCCGAGATGACCTGGAGCGAACATAAACACAGCCATGTCAGAGCACTCCACAATGCTTTTTGTTCAGTAACCTTTATTTGAACACGGCGAGAGAGCTCGCGGCTTTTCTTATCTTTAGTGCTTTTTGCACAAGGCCAAATAAAAAACAAAGATGTACTAACAGAGATAAAAACAAAACCTTTCAAAACACTTCAAAGAGAAAAACAAAGCTGTTGAATGAATAGCATTGAACCACGTTATTCACTCCGTATGAAATAATGAGGCAAAATGGGAGAGCCAAACTTCAGATGGCGCTGTCCTTTCTTTTTGGAGCAGATGCATTACACACTTTTCTCCTTGGATTCGACCGGTAGATCTCAGATATCAAGCTGTCTTGACATCAGGGAGGGGAATTAGCAAAAGGACCCTAACGACGAGCCTGATAACCATTTCTGACCGATAGCTTCGATAAGAGAGTTAATAATTGGCTCTAGAGATCCCTGCAGATATTTGGGTCAATGATGCTCTATTTTTACCACCATTGATTCCCGACCTACAGACTTATAGAGGAGACTGATTGATGTGGACTCTTTATTCCTTTTGAAGGTGCAAGAGAAGAGAATATGTGCTCAAAAGGAGAAATATAACTATGGGTAACAAGGCTTTAGTGATCTGATGCTTTCTGCCATATTTCTCTTCAGTTCTTTGTTTCCCTTCTCCTTTGTATGATTCCTTGCTGTTGTTTGCAGAGTCAGGGCAGATGGAGGCATCAGACGCTCATATAGACCATTTGCCTTCCTTCCTGCACTGTCTGAAAAAACCTTCCACAGACTTGAAAACAACTGCAGCTTGATAATCCATCGCAATAAATGTGAAGCCGTTATCTGGTCTCGTCAAAGTTAAATCCTCGACTCATTGTGCCTGAGTGGATTGTTTCCATATCAGGTCCCCTCACAGCTCACAGGAACAACCAGAATGTGTCACTGAGGAATCCTCAGTAATAGTTTCCCAGCATTCAAGATCTTAAATAGCGTAGAAAAGAATTTCACTTAAAGCAATAGCCCAAAATACATTGTGCAATAAACCTTTTTGCTTCCTTGCCGAAATGTAATTGAGAAGATTAATACCACACTTGTGTCTGTTCTGTAAATATGAGCCTGCAGGCAACTATATTAGCTTAGCATAAAGACTGGAAACAGCTAACTCTGTCCAAAGGTTTAAAATACACCTACCAGCAATCCAAACTCACTTTTAGTGTTATACCTAACTGCCTGGTAGTTTAATATAAAACAAATATTATTTTACAAGCGAATCATATATTTTATGTGCAAAATGGTGTATATGTAGTTAAAGTAAAACATTTAAATTAAGTCCCATGGCTCGCTCAAATCTGCTTTACGTTTGTCAAACCAACCCACAGAGTATTTTTACACTTCATGAATATTTAGTTCTGTGAAGAAGTGCTGCCAACACACTAGTGACCTACTCTGAATACTGTGTGTACACTTTTAGAAAGTACCATAAATGCAAAAGAAAGTACAGGCTTGGATTACAGGCTTGAAGGACACCAGTATTTTTATTTTTAAAGAGCAAAATGTGCATCAATTCAAAGACTGGAGGCTAACACAAAGTGTGGCCTGTAGTACACCTCTCCAACTTATGATTTAAATCACTTTGTGTCCTTGGTCCAGTGAATTCTCTTTAAAGATTGACATTTCTGCCTCAAACATGATTGGATGTGGCTGACTTGAGTCAGGCTCAGTTTCCCTCACGTTGCAATAAAATCTGGTTTGATTCCTGTTCACGCCGAGCTCAAAGCTCCAGAATACTGTTAGAAAACGCTGCCAGCAATTGATTGATTAAAAGCGATTTTGGGATTTGGGTTGGACTCACGTAGGAACAGATTAATGTTAAAACTGAACTTTGAACTTTAAAACTGAGTTGGACTGCGCCTTAACTTTCAGTCTTGAATCGAGCTGTAATTCTCTCATGACAGAAAGACAGATTTATAAAAACACACACACACACACACACACACACACACACACACACACACACACCACACACACACACACACACACACACACACACACACACACACACACACACACACACACACACACACACACACACACACACACACACACACACACACACACACACACACACACACACACACACACACCACACACACACACACACACACACACACACACACACACACACACACACACACACACACACACACACACACACACACACACACAGGCTGTCACTCACCCCCAGGTCTATTAGTGATCTAACAGCAGTGTGTGCAGCCTCCTGCGAGCAGCTCTCTGTGAGATATGGCACAAAGGCACATGAATCAAAAGAACAGACAGTTATCCAATACAGAAAAAGCAGGTCGGGATAACAGAAGAAAACCATCACCAGTGGGACTGATGGGACTTTTATACTGAGCATTATTGAAGGGTGTCAATTGGGTAGTTTCTGATTGTCTCATGTTTTATAAGAAGAGGAGAGCGAGGAGTCTCTGCTGAATGTTACAACAAACGCTGACTCAGTGGGAGAAGACAAGCTGACAAGCTTTCAGAGTTAATAAACAAAGGAAGGGAAGATCTTGGTGTGTGTGTTTGTGAGTGTGTGTTCTTGTGTCAGGTAGAGCTCACCATAGTGCTGCTTCTTAGTATTTTCTGTGTCACACAGATAGGACTGTATCTGAGCCATAAACTCTGCCTCTGGAAATAAAGAAAAATAGAGGCAATTCAATGAATAACACAGAGCAAAGTGATGAAAGCCTGGTAAGATACTTAAAGTGGACCTATCATGCTATATTTGAAACATATATTGTAGGGCCATACCTATACAAAACATGTCTGTGAAGTTTTTTTTCTCAAAATACCAAACAGTTCACCCATTGTAGCCATCCCTCATACTGCTCAAACCCCTCTTTTGAAGCCCTGTTAGAGAAACGCGGATCTTGGGTCCTTAGCTTGAAAAAAAGAAAGAAGAGGAGGCGGAGCTAATGCCTGATCAGAATTCTACCGGAGATAAAGTTAAATTCTGCTGTGATAAAACGCCATCCTGTTTAAACCACATCAAGGATCATTTCTGAAACAGTATGGAGCTCAAATGCTTTTTCTCTTGCAGGTCACAAGGTGAGTTCCTTTTTTTATTTCCTGCTTTTTAAACACATGTGCTCTACACAGTACAGGTTAGCTCTGAGTGTTAGCGAGGCTTGCTAATGTAAACAAAGACGAGATTACGTCAGGCATTGTTTCTGATAGCAATTTTCTGTGGGTCCGCCGCCGATTTGACGTCAGTTCGGATGGAATCTGTATCCGCTCGTTGTACCCCCGTTTTTAAAAGATTTGGGTACGGAGGAAAAGAGAGAGGGTTTTATTTTCTGACGCTGCGTGAGTTCCCCGACGCACCAGGGACACATATTTATGTATAAAAGACATCACAAAGTGCATTTTGCATGATAGGTCCCCTTTAAATATGGAGGTTTCATACTTCAGGGATATGCTATAAGGTACATTGATGGCTGTTGGGTGGCTACAAATGGCTTAGGGTGAAACATTAATACCATCATTTACTCTGGTTCTTGGCTTTGAAAATAATCATTGTGCCCTAAGTGTACAGTACACACACCTGGCAGAGGTGTGTGTATGAGGTCCAGAGCAGTGGTGGTCCAGCACAGCGCCCTCAGAGGACCAGCGAGCATTCTGCAGAGGAAGAAGAGCATCTCTGGACACTGACTTGGATGGCTTATCTGGGAAAATACACAGAGAGGGGAAGCAGGAAGGGTCAAAAATGTCAAAATCAGGATGGCGGGAGAGCAGGAATGAGTGAGCATTTTCCATTGCAGTGAGCACATGGTGAGAAGTTGCCGTCAGTGGCTCTTTCAGCTCTAGAAAATAATAAGGCTACAGGAAACAGAGGCACAATATTACAAAAGTGATAAGCTTGCCAGAGCATCACAGTCTGGGTGTCCCAGTTTTAAAACTCGGTGCTGGTGAAGTAGGTTTTGCATGTTGGTTCCATGCAGTAACACGTTTGAGTTTTTATTAGTAATAGGGATGTAAAAAAACACATCACAATAAACGTATTCAGACCCCGAATAGTCCCAATACACAAATCAGATGTTTCTATAAGACCTTCAGAGCAGTGTGCCGTTTTATTTCCTTTTATACCAGAGGGGATACAAAAGTCCGGCCATAAATGTGTAAGGACATGCAATGGCACTTTCATAATGCAATTTTCTACCAAGTGAAATGAAACACAATTGTATTGTTTTGAACAGAGGGAATACAAATGGGCTATAACCTAATAGCCCTATAGACACGTTTATGTATCTGTATATTATTTTATATTTTATAGCATGTTTTTCTACATAACCATTCTGTGGACAAGTGCTGTAAATCAGTGTTTGTCTACATGCTCTTAACAAAGTGCGTCTGGTTCTTGTAAAATAATAAAGACTGAAGGAGGCGGAGAAACAAGGGGTTCATCAAATCCCCTTATGAATAGTTTAAGATGTTTATGGAGCAATATAACACTAATATTGAAATATATGGTGCAGAGGTTACATTGTAAAGTGTAGTTGATCTTGTTGTACTCCATGGTCATTACACAGCCATACTGAATCAATTATGAAATGTTATGCGTCTTAAAGGATGCATGCTCATACCAGCACTGCAGCAGATAAACTGTTACAGGTTTATTTCTTTATCATACCTGTTGGATGTGTCATTGCTAGGGGGCTCATGTTATGACCTTAAAAACACAGCGCATATCCACATTCTTTGCCAACTGAGGGACATTTTATTAAGCGTACCAATGAATGGAGCTCTCCAATGTTTTAATGAGCAGTTGCCAATTAGTTTTAAACTTAGTGCTAAAACAATAATTACAGTACTCTGCAGCACTGAAAAGCTTAAATAAACAGCATCATTTTAAAGTTAACATGGCATATTAACTGATGTTGTGATGAGTAGATAAACAGTAGGCAGAGACCGCCGAGCCAAATGTGCACTCAAAGTAATGAATGTGCAAGTGGACAACTCGCACCACAGTATTTGGCAACCCAAAAAGGCAAGATTCTAAATATAAAAATTGCACAAAGTAATAGATATATTTCAGCAAGTGAAGATAGAAATAGTTATATATTAGCTCATCAGATTGATCTGTATCGAAAGTAAATGATAGAAAGAATTAAGTGTTTGAAATAGTTTGTGTCACAGAGAAATATGGTTACTTTTATTTTTAAGCTTCAGGTCATACATTGTAATTCTTGAGAATGTATTCAACCTTGTATACCCTTGACACCTGAAAGAAAAACATTCTCTTAAGCTTGCATAGCTGAGAAGATTTAAACTATAATAAAACACAATAACTAATAAAACATTTCAGTGCCTTTAGGAAAAGGCCTTTGAAAAAGTTCTACATGTAAAGTGAACCAAAATGATTTGTGAAAGTTCAGGGGTTTTGGCAACAATCTTCAAACATTGAGCAAACACAAGAACAGGCTTTCTTTCAAACTAAATCTTATAGCAACTTAACCTGGATTACTGCCAATTATTTTCTGTCATCGCTCAGCACCTGAGCTGAGGGCAGCGGAGGAGAAAAGTGATTGCAGAGGATGGAGAAAGTCAAAAGATTAGAGTAGAAGAGTAAAGCTGTAACAGTGTAAACAGTCCCTTCCTCAGAGGCTAAGCTGGAGTCAGAGAGGCTTTTATACCGGTGTGTAGGTGGTGCTGGTTCTACTGAGCTAGTAAGACCTAGAGGCACAGGTAGGCAAAATAACTTCTTAGGATTTAACTTCTTTTTTACAGTAAAAGAACATCAGATACTTATTCAGGGAAAGATCTATGTATATTGTATATAGAAACAGCCGGAGAGAGATCACATGACCAATCATTCAATCCCATCCACCACTGTTTGTGAAAAAAAACACTAAATTGTGAATACAACAAAATAAGCTAAGATACCTGAGATTCAAATGGAATTGGATTTGTGCATGACCCACAGCTATTGTAGGACAATTACATGTTTAGTAGAAATGTGAAGCATTTTGTGATCAATTGTTGTGATTTCTAGAGGCTTACCATCATGACATTTTTGAAGGCCTCATCACTTTTTTGAGAGTTTGATATATTTAGTGTGTGGGCTGTCACTCTCTTTTTACATTTGTATGTCAAGTTAAAGTGGACCTATTATGCTATATTTAAATGATATATTGTAGGGCCATACCTATATAAGGTATATTTATACGTTTCTGTTTTCAAAATACCAAACAGATCATGCATTTTAGCCATGCCTCATTTCGCTCTATGTGCTGTTTGCTGTCTACGGGTCTGATTCTGCTGACCACGCCCCCCTGCAGGAGAGGTGAGCCGTGCTCTGATCAGCTGCTGGGCTGTCAGAAGAGGGGGAGAAAAAGAGATCTCCGTCCTCCTGTTTTACTATATAGAGTCGTTATTCATTTGTTTTAAAGCTCAATAAATAACAAAGAAGACCTTTGACCGGCACTTTTCTAATTTTGTCCGGAAGATTTAAACTTTAACGGACATCTTGACCGGCGAAAGAAACTGAAACTGAAACTCTGCTGCACGGTCCCCTCGTTCCTTGGAAGAGGCAGAGAGGTGGGTGTTTGTCATCTGCTGGTGGACTAACCGGAGAGAATTACAGTGCTTGCCTCGACGGGGAGGGATTGCATTGAATTAAAGCAGCGGGAGCAAACGCTTGCCTCGGGGAGGGAGAAAAAAAGCCACAGCGGAGAATAAACAGAAGGGTAACCATGGTAACTATGGGCGGGAAGTCTTCTTCGCTGCTTTTGTGGCAGACTACAGCGCCACTTACAGGCCTGGCATATGTACTACAGCGTCTCCAGCGCTTTCGAGCGGCAATGGCCGGCCGTGGCCCAACCTCACATTCCCCTGATAGGTGGAGAGTTGGCCCAATAGCCGTAGCGCCACCGTCCTGACGTCAGGACAGTGTTCAAATCTGGATCAGTTTTTATCAGATCCGTTGCAGCCCCTTTTTTAGAGATTTGGGTATGGAGGAAAATAGAGAGGGTTGTGTTTTCTGACACTTGGTGAGTTCCCTGGAACACCGGGGACACATATTCATGTATAAAAGACGTACAAAAGTGCATTTTGCATGATAGGTCCCCTTTAAGTCAGCACTCTCACATCAAGGTTTTAACAATTTATTGCAGGAAAAAGCCTTTTCAGTTTGTCCTTGTGACTGTGCTCATTTAATGATCTGGAACATATCTGACCCTCTTCTGATGTAATGCACTCAGAATGTCCTTGCTCTTTTAACAAGGTGCTATGGGAATAAACATGCATTGTGTTATACAGAGCAGCTGTGTGGAAACATCTGCACGTTTTCCCTTTTAGTTCTTGCTGTAACACTTTGTTACACGGAGTGTCATCATTACGGTTTGTTTAATCGTTAACACTTGAACCTTTGAATGTAAACGTAATATTCCTTTTGTTGCATTTTGACATGCTGAACATATTACCCGTAAGCTGTGCATGTCTCTGCATGTCTCTCTTGTTGCAGCGGCGCTTGAGGCGCCTCAAAGTCCCTTTGCAGGGTTTGTGAACGACACACCTGAACCTTTGCTCTGACTGTTTGGTCCCTTTGGAAGTTGGTTAGCTTCCTTGTGTTGCTTTGAAAAGCACATATATCAGCCATGATAGACAGGCTTCTTTTAACGATGAGCCTTTCTGCTAATTGTTATTCAAGTTAGGTGACTCAGCTGTGCTTTTGTAATGGAGATGTAGCTACTTCAAAGTTATTTTTCATGTGGCGTTTCTGGTAATGGGACATTTTTCCTTTTATATAACCTAGGGTGATTCCCTAAGGCATTTGAGGTAGCCAGAGGAGCTCAGCAACACTCTTCTGTACCTTGTAGGAGCGCAGCTCCATCTCCTCCATGTCACAGTCAGAGTCGCTGTGGCACATGTCGTCAGAGGTCGTCCAGCTCAGAGCGTTGTCCCTCTTCAAGAAATCACAGACGGGGAAGTCTCTGGGAATCTACATCGTATTGAGAAAGAAACAGACAGCAGCATGTCAGACTATAGCTCTTTTGGTCTAGTGATGCCATCACAATCTCCAAACCCATCGAATATCAAACTGAAAATGATATAGTCTTTTGGAGAAAACGGAATATTATGATTTCCTTCTTTGTGCGCCGGTCATCGTTCAGTTTGATAAGCAACTTGAGACGCGAGAAAAGAGTGAGAGTATATATATAGACCCTATTGTTCTATGTTTTAAATGGATGTTTTGTTACAAAACAAAAACTAAATCGTCTAAAGCCAATGGGTTCTCACATGCATACAGTATGCAGAACCATTTTTTAGAGGTAAGGCTATCTGTAAGTGAAATTATTTAGGTGTTTAGTCTTGTGTGGTCAGTTTGTTTATTTTTGTAACAAAATGAATTATACATTCAAAAACAATCAGGTCGGAATCTTACACAATAGACTTAACACAAACAATATATTAAAAAAAAGATGTATATGTACTCTTTTTGCAATTTATTCATTTTTATCATTAACTGCCTGTAGCTGATTTCATTGATAGGCCTATCCCTATATATTGTCAGTATTATTCAACTAAACAAGATGGAAATACGTTGTTTCTTTATGGTAAACAACCAGCATTATCTTTCATTTTGAGTTGTGTTTCTGACCACATCATGACCAATATCTACTGTTCTTCAGCTCTGATTACTTTTTGGCACCAACACTATGTTCACCAGCTACTCTCTAACGGTGTGACTGTCAGTCGCTGCAGGCCATGTGGCGTACAGCCAGCACATCGTGATGATCTTACCTCCTCGATGATCAGGATGCCACAGCGCACGAGACTGTCGATGGCATCCAGAGCAAAACTCTGCGAAGACTGACACGGCTGGAGAGAGAGAAAGAGAGAGAAAGATCATTTACAATCACTAAGATACATAAACCTAATTTGCTCGTGACGATATTGTCAAAGTCAACCTAGAAAATAAAAAAATATTAAATGTAACCATATTGATCATCTAAAAAAACGGGTATTTCACCACGGACCATTAAACATCTGTTTTTGTAAATTCTTTCACATTACTTGTTTTTTTTTGTCTTGGCTTTGACATTCCAATACAAATAATCTTTACATCACATGACAGAGAGTCATCTTATTCATCTCAATAAGGAATAAATGGCTAAATCCTTACTTGATCCAAAAGAAAATTGAGAAGTTGAGAAGTTTTGAATTCAGAGCAAGAGAGGTAGGGGGGGAGAGAGAGGGAGAGAGAGAGAGAGAGAGAGAGAGAGAGAGAGAGAGAGAGAGAGAGAGAGAGAGAGAGAGAGAGAGAGAGAGAGAGAGAGAGAGAGAGAGAGAGAGAGAGGGGTGTTTCTCAATCGCGAGTACGCTTGCTTGGTAGCACATGTCTGCCGAGCATCTTGCTTCAGAAGCGAGTCAAGAATACTTCCTGGCATTCGGAAAACGAAGTGTGGAACAGGCTAGCAAGTGTGCAGGTGTGCGTCATACGAGAGGCCCCGCCTTACATCTTCCGCCACAGATTTGGGGAAATTGGTCCGTGCGCAAAGCATTGTGGGGATTTTAAGACCGCGGAGTCTACTCATGTGCAGACTCGATATTTCTCCAAACGGAGTACGCCGGGCTCGGTAGATTTCCAAGTATGCTGGAGATTGGAACAGTACTTCGGCGGCACTTGATAACGTAGTATGCTTGAAATAGTGGCTCTGGAGCAGCTTTACTCGCGATTGAGAAACACCCAGAGACTGGGAGCATGTCTGATATTTCAACTCAACATTTATTAATACCACATACTACAAATATTTTCATCTTAAACTCCCTAATATAAACTGGTCAGATGAAAACAATAAATACTAAGGCATCATCAGTGCAGCTCAATCAAACCATTGAAACAAAGAAGAGAGATAAAGATAAGAAGATAAATGTGAAGAAAGGTTAGAGGCACAAACAGCTTCAGCCCGTCGCATCTCTCTGAAGTTCAGCTGACAGAGAGCACGAGTTGAGTCATAAAGACTGAGCAGAGATCAGAGGAGGACAATGAAGGATGGCCGGCAGGAAGATAATACCGGGAGCGATACTTCTCGTAGAATAATGGGGTGAGAAACATAGCTGAGAGCAGGAGAGACAAGAAAGTGCAGCTGCCTAACTGAGAACTGAGCTAACAGAGAAATGAAAAGTACTTCTGGCTCGGATTCGGAGCCCTTTAAGTCAGTCTGATGGAGCACGTACACACAGATATACACACACACAATTTAAAACCTCTCTCTGCCTGAGATAGAGGCAGCAGAGCAGGATGAACGGCTATTCAGCTCCATTAAACATCCATTGAATGAGACACACTGGGTGTTTGTGTGATATGAATTCATACTCACTGGCAGGAAGCCCGGAGGCAGGAGGTGTGAGAGCTGCAGGGCTCTCTCCGTCAGCTCCGACTCGCAGAGCAGCACATCGCACTTCATGTCATCGCTGACCTGCTCTCCGTCCACACTGTCACTCCTCACTCTGCTGCTGACGCCGCTGCACACCACCTCGCACAGCATGGCTGACACCACACACGCTAACACACACACACACACTCAAACATTTGATTATTTGCTCTAATCATTCATACACACTGTGAGAATTCGAGTGTTTGATATCATATTTTAATAAGATCAAGGGTTTCCGTATTTATCCCCATTATCCTGCTTTCATGTGCCGGTGGGAAAGTCTCGACATCACAGATTGTTTGTGTCCATAATGAGGTCACAGATTCCTTTCAAAATACAAACCTAGAAAACAAATAGTGAACACAAACCATGATGGAAGAGATTTGAGTTTTAGTTTTCTTATAGTAGTCCCTACATTTGCTACAATATTACCAGAGGTCATAAGTAAAAGTAATAAAAAAATGTACTACAATCAGCTGCTACACTAAAGAAATTCACTATTTAATGCATAAATTATTCAAATATAATAATATATGTGACTTGGAAATGCTAATACTTTAACTTGTAAGTAACTTGAGTATGTTTTGCACAGTCAAAACATACTCAAGACTTTTAACAAGTAAAATATCCAAACATCTTCCACTACTGGGTATCAAAAAATAATAATATATACCTGAGAACTTATTTTTACCTTCTGATGTAAGCATGTATTTATCTGTAACAAAGAGGCTTTTAGAGCCCACTGCCCACCAGCTTCACTTCCGGTACAAGTCATGCAGGAACAATGAGTCATAAAGGTGAAGCAGCTTCCTGTACTTCAAAAGCCCATATTATCTTTTTAAATCCAGCTAAAACGGGTCTATAGCATCTGTGGCCCCAGTCTCTCTGTTAGCATCTAGAAACAGTACAGTGTATTTATACAGAGAGCTCATAGCTCATGGATGAGCTGATAAAACCCTTCTAGCACTTCTGGGGCTTCCTGCCATTAGATTATTATCATATATCTCTCGTACAAAGTATGCAGTTTCCAAACCAGTCGCCAAATAAGAGCGCCAAAAGTAAGAGATTCTGAAAAAAATATATATATTCTGTTCAGTGTTTTTCAATTTCTTGCTTTCAGCACTGTCTGCATTTGGCAGCTACAGTATAGTTAAGACCTGTGAAAGATAGTGTTATGGAAAATGAACTGTTATTAGGGTTTAGGTAACTTAGAGTAACCAAAATCCCTTGGTTAATGTAGGGATACATACTGTCTTGACTCAGGAACACTTCAGCAAGGCAACTTCTATACTGTATACCCAGTAGCAGACTTTAAGTTGGTAAAGAATATTATTTTCAGGTAGGTCTCAAGATTAAGATGCAAAATAGACCTGAGGACAAAGTAAACTCAGCTGCTGGGTTATTAGTAACACTTTAATGATATTAGGTCCAATACAAAACAGTCCTGCTTTCTTTTTTGAGTACAAAACTAACTTTAAATGAAAGGAGGAGTTTTCAAAAGTGTACTGTAAATGTAACCTTGAAAATGCCTGGTTTGAGTTAATCCAAGTCTTTTAGTCAAAGAAAGGTTTCTTATTATTCTGATGAATAATGTCCTGCCTAATTCACCTATTAAAGGTGTAGCATTGAAATATATCATCTATACATGTCACACATATGACACAACAGGAAATCAGGATACAATATCATACAATCATTTACAGAAGAAACAGAAACCAATCAGAGAGCTGCACTGCCTTCTTTAAAAGAAACATGTTTAACTGGATTAAAATGATGAAATGAGCTGCTGCATGCTCTGCCACTGCTCAAGGCTTAGCATGCCTTAAAAATTCGGAAAATTCGGTACTTTAAAATGTCCTGTTTCAAACAGATTTTCCATACTGACATGCCAACAGACCGAGCCAAGGCCTCCTACGGAAAATAAGTTTGCTGTGGAACACAAGGTCGCAACATGGTATTTAAGCTTAAATGTTAGAGCTACTGTCAGCTACACAGATTACAAGCATGCGAACTCACTCACCGCCAACAGCTTCCAAAATAAAGCTGTGTGTGACAATCTGGGCGTGGAGGGAAAGGTGAAGTGTCGCAGCAAGAGAAGGACGGGGCACAATGAAAGGGTCTTTCCTGCAGCGAGGCACACAAGGACAGTAATGGAGACAGAGGTTTCACACAAAGGGAAATTGGATTTTTGATAAGCAACACAAGTTTGTTCCACAGCCCTTATCGGTAATCTTTGTTTATCTTTTTGATAGACAGAAAACCAACCGAGACGGCACTGCAGCTATGGTGAGATGAGGGGCGAGCAGAGAGAGGGAAGAGCGGACAACCTCCTTCAAACTCCCCCTGAAACCCATGTCCTTGTTTCTGAACAAGAGTTCCTCTGTGAGCCAGGCCACATCCCGACACAGGGCAGAGGCACTCACACCCTGCGGAGGAAAAGGAAGGAGAGGTTTTGTTCCAAAATAAGTCGGGGCATTAACCATCTGGTGACGTTAGTTGGGGACTGGTGACGCAGAAAATCACTGTCACACTCTAATGAAGTTGCACGGAAACCAATTTTGTTTATGAGCCTTTTGGAGTGTTGAAGGATCTTTAGAGGGGCAGAGGCGGGTTTTAAGTCTGACAGCACCAGGGGGAAGATTATTCAGCAAACACATCAACACAGGGGTGATGCATGTACCTTGTGGTGTCTGTACAGCAAAAGACTGGACACCAGACCGGTGGACATCACAGCCGAGCAGGAGGCTGCCGCTAGAGAGAGAACACACACACACACACACACACACACACACACACACACACACACACACACACACACACACACACACACACACACACACACACACACACACACACACACACACACACACACACACACACACACACACACACACACACACACACACACACACACACACACACACACACAATCAAAACGAAAGCTTATTAAGATGTGTTTACAAGAGTCAGCAGGGGAACATAATCCTGGACCTACAGAAGAGGAGGTGGAGGATGACGGCGGTGCTCAGGTCTCTCTCCGGATCAGCTGGCTCTTTGAGTTCAGACGCATAATGAGGAGAAGGAAGAAGCCACGACATCCTCCTCCGCCCAAACACACAGTCAGGTCTTGAATAAAACATGATTGAAGGAAAAAACATGTCAGGAATCATTTACAGAAATGTTATGGTCATTCCAACTGACTGACTCTCTTTAAGTGAAACAGTTTATGGTTAGCATTTATTAACGTTACCTCTCTATTAGCTCAAGCTCCCACAATGCTCAAGAGTTAGATATATAGATATAGCTAATAAATGGATGGATTCCTGAATAGATTACTGCTCTACATAGTTGCTTTCATTGTTAGTGGGGGAGTAATACTAGGTTGGATTCAAGTGCAGTTTTAGCCTCACTGTTTTCTCTCTTTACATCGTATCAGAGCTGTAGAAGTTACTTCTGATAAAAACCAAACATGCTGACATGAGATGTTTTATGTTGTATAGAAGCCAGAGGAAATGCCACTTAGGTTTCCGCAATCATGTATCAACAATGTGTCCAAAAGGGAAACGTGGTTAGCATCTCGTTTATCAGTTTCAATTATTGCTGGTAGTGCTGGAACGAGGAGGTGCAGCTGCAGCGAGCTGATGGATGAAGAGCTGCACACCCCCAACTCCTCAGAAAGAGAACCAACCCAACTGTGTCCTGCTGTGGTGTGGAAGACTACTAGCCACTACACATGATGAGTGTTATTGAGCTTGTTTATTCAAACTGTTTGTTGTTTGGCTACAGATACACTAGAAGCTGTATTTCTGTATTAAACCCTTTTATCTGATACCACAGTATTCACAGCTGTGGCAAACATAAACCAGGATGGAAATGTGGAGGATTACAACTAAAAAGAAGGATAACACAGTTGGTAAATTAAAGAGATCCACAGTTGGCCTTGTGCCATCAGAATGTGCTGCAGCAAATTAGATTAATTGTCGAGGGAGTTGCATAACAAATCAAGTCGTAATCAAGGATAATAATTATTTGCTCCAGCTGAAAAATCGAAAGACATCATTTCATTTTATAACAAGGACATTTTCAGTGATGATCAGTTCATTCTTATACGCCATTTGTAGCTAAGTAGAAACGGAAATTAGCTGTTTTTCCAGTAAACTCTTAAAGGCCATTATGAGAGCTCAGCAGAAGACAGGATATTTCAGAGGAGTAAAAGGATGTGTGGGTATAATAAAGCTGTAGACTAACACACATAAAACAGCAGCTACATCATTCAAAAATGGAGGTGTGTGCAATACACTTTATGAACTGCTTATCTGAGGCTTAGCTGGAGGGATATGAGCATGATATTTATGCATCTCAGCGTTGTATGTGCGAACGAGATATACAGTAATGTATCCGAGAGAGCGGTCACATCTGGCTCTGCTAGTACACAATTCCAACAGATCGTAAGATTTTTCATTTCAACAAATATATATAAACTGTAAGTGTGTGCTCCTCTGGATATTAAGTGTTTCTATGTGAGGAATTGTCATTACGACAGCCCTCCCATCCCCTGTATTTTTATACATGAAAATACAAAAGGGGCTTCAGACGAGGAGTCTTCCACAGCCAAGCAGAATGCGTCATCATGGCAGAGACACAGTGTTGAGTACCAGAGTATGTTAATGATGTAGGGATACACAAAGAACTAAAACTGCTCACATGCTGATAACAATCCAATTTAACTATCACTCTCCAACTCATCTCATCTATCACTTGCCATCTATTTCACTCCCGCTGGTTGTTTTGTTTGCATCCCGCCCTCTCAGAGGAATTAAACACATAAAGGGAGAAGCCACTTTGCTTGTCAGAAGCCAAGCAGAGATTGAGCTTTATTTTTTTCTATCCGTTATCTTTTTCACTGGCAGACTGTTATGTTGATGGTAATTGGACTGAGTCTAAGAGGATGAAAACTCTCATCAGAGCTTGCATCTTGTCTGTGCCAGATTCAAGGTTTAGAGGAAAGTTGAATCTTAAAAGTTGGGGAGAAAGTAACTTTTAGATTTTCCAGATGTTAGATAATACCCAAACCAAATCCTTACTCCATTTTGGTTTGTCTGTGCACAGTATAAACACTCACCGCTGTGTTTCGGTATGTACACAGGTGGTGTGATTACCTGTTGTTGAGGATAACCGGCAGCAACAGGTCCTGTAGAGGGAGCCATTCAACTACTCTGCACCTCCCCGACTCGCACATCTCCTACACACACAAACACACACACATATGGACGCACACATGCACTCTCTAAATCATTACCTAGTGATGATTTGTTAAACCAAGTGTAAAAATTTGATTACATTTGATGTTTTATTGCTGCAACCTATTCCTCTGTTATTATTGCCATGTGAACACCTTCCTTCCAACCCAGTTTATTAGGTACATTATTACAACAGAGATTATATTACCCAGAGGTGTGTTGTTTCAACTTATTATTATTTATTTTGGAGATTGTTGTTTGCATTGCTTTTGAATTATGTTGAATTTAGCTGAAGACATTTCTGATCCTGTTCCTGGAAAGTCTAACTAGGCTCCACAACTGGGAGCAAATTCTGGCTCTGATCAAACACACTGTGGCCAACAGCGAAGCTCCCAAACCATGCCTGAAATTCATTCTTATGGACAATATCCTTTTAGCTTTTATGATCCACGCCGCTGGAACAGTCTGCTGTCCCAATGCTAAATTACCTGCCTCTGCCAACAGGATAAATCAAAAACGAATAGCTCTAATCATGACAGTCAAAATTGTAAACTCAAGTAAATAATGAGGTCCGGAAATATAACAGTGATTTTCGGGAAGTTGGCTCAAACTGTAAGAATCAAGGATATTTTAGACCCTCCAGAAAAACGCGATTATGCGATCGCATAATTTACCGCATAATCAGCAAAATGGCGCAGATTTTTAAAAGGGCGCATATTTATTAAAAGGTCGCATAATCCCCGCATTTTTCCACACAAAGTTGAGGGAAAAAAAAGTTAACGTGAAGTAGTGATGTCATCAGCTCGCGCAGGTAAACAACACCGTAGAGTGAATGTGTGGAACTCACACGAGAGAGAAAACAACAAGATCAGCGCCATATAGATTATTATATACTATTATACTATTATACGGCTCTGACCAAGATGAAAAAATCGAATCCATCTCATTTGCCTACGAACATTTCTGCTAAAGACCGGGCAAAGCAGTACCCCGATGTCTTGCACGAAAGTGGGGGGAAACTATTCTGCACCCCGTGCAACTGTGTGTTGGAGCATAAGAGAAAATCGACGGTGACGACCCACTTTGATTCATTCAAACATTCGAAAATGCTTTCTGCTGCTGCGGACAAGAAAGTCAAACAACTCGCGTTCACCGAGGCATCAACCTCCAAAACCCTTTCGAGGGCTACAAAAACGAGGTGAGTAGCCTACAAGATTGAAGCTGGTCAGATAACGAACGAGTAAATGAAAACAGAATGAGGCGGAGAAGAGTGTGTGTGTGTGTGTGTGTGTGTGAGAGAGAGTGATTAAAATAGCCCATATATAAATACATAAATAACACTTTGTGATGTAGCTTGCTTCTAGTATGCTTGTTTATCATAGGAACTCTTTGAAAGGGCTCACTTTCATTCAGTAGTAGCCTAGTAACAGGGTGTGGGAGAAGAATCACCTTTTTTCCACCTCCCGCATATTTCGCAACTTTTCGCATATTTGGCATATTTCCGCATATTTCGCAACTTCACCGCATAAATACACATAAAAACCCTGCATGTTTAATCGCATAATCAAGGATTTTAGCCCGCATAATCAAGGATTTTAGCCCGCATAATCAAGGATTTTAGCCCGCGTTTTTCTGGAGGGTCTAATATTTACAGTCACCTCGACATTCCTACTGTATAATTGCCTTTTCTATCATTAAAGTCAAGATAAAGTTAATTTATATGGGTAAGCTAAGTTAATGAGTCCACCTTCGAGGTGAGTGTAATTTTTGCCAAGGCTTATTCTTTGCCTGTCCAAACCCCAGAAGAAGCCTCAAGATGGTAATTATAGAGACATGAAATATAAATGGAGAGGAAAAATATCACAAACATTTGTTTTTAGGATTAGTTTTTACCATACTTTAGGAAGGCAAAAACTCAAGCCCAATCTAAATGTTTATCCCGAGATGATATGTCAAATGCAGAAATGTATAGATTTTAAAGGGTTTTCCAGCAAAAATGGGATTGGAACATTTTCTGTAAATGATAAGCAAGTCTTGAATGATATATGCTCTCTGCTCTGCACCTTGAGAGAAAAAGGCTGGGCGAGGTCGATCCTCACAATTCCTTCCGGTCTCCTCCAGAGGAGAGAGCACAGGCAGCGCAACACAGAGCTGAGGCCAACCTGTGAGGACATGTAACACACACAGTCTTCAGAGAGATATGAACAGAGAGTGAGAGTTAGCGTTGAACCTTAATGAGACCGTGCCTTTAGGAGGGACATTACAGCAGCAATAGCACTAATGAGCAGGATCAACAAGGAGCACTAACATCAATAGTGTTGTTGCTAGTACTGTTTGAATGACAGAACAAAATGGTTAGTGGACGACCTTATCATAGCAATTAACTAAAAGCAACACCCGCTCTGGAGTATCTTCTTTAAGTGAAAAGAACAGACTGCAAGACTAATGGAGACTATAAAAATCACAATTTCCATTAAAAAGGGAAGAAATGCACACATTAACTTTATTGTGCTTTTGAGCTTCAAGCAGTGATTGTGGAACAACATGGTCGCTCCAAAGCGGAATTGTTGTACGTCATTGCTCAGAGCATTTAATCAACACTGAAAACCTTTTCTGCGCCGGCGGTCACATGACTTTTCTCAGTTCGAACTCAATTTCTGGTGATTTTTACACCACAATGCAGCACAAACATGAATATGCAGTGATAACAACAATGAATCACAAATTGTGTATCCCTCGCGTGATTAGGATCAGCTCCAAAATGTAATCGGTCTTTCCTTGACTCCTTGTCCAAAAACTATTTGAGCAATAAGCATGCTCTTAATTTTACAACTACGTGCAATGAAGACAGGTGGTTTAATGTTTCCATGGATTTAGTGAGTTACACTGTAGGCTACAACTTGTACAACTTGACGCACCTCACAGCTTTAATACCTCTGCTCTTAAACCAACCTGTTCACTTGCTCCTGAAGACATAACCCAGGGATCTCATTAGGTCGTGTTTGTGTGTGCTTGCAAGTATGTGTGTTTACATGCACCCACCTGTGTGTTGCTCTTTGGCACACAGTCGTAGGAGATGCCCACAGGTACCAGACTGACATCGGGGACAGATCCTTCTTTGATGACTTGTCTGATGGAAGCCAGCCACTGGCCGCCCCGGCCAGACTCCGATGCCACGCCGACACTTAGGGCCTGACCCTCCTGTAGCAGCTCACGTACCAGCTGAGGAGAGATGGTGGCAGAGACTAAGGTCGGAACGGTCTTCGCAGTAGGGGAGCAGTTCACATAAAAAATCCTGTTGTGCATTTATTAAATATACATGAGCAATTTAGCGAACTAGACCTTTGAAGGAATACAAAAGGCAGGAAAACAAAGTGAGGAGGGCGGCAGAGGGAGGAAAAGTCAAAACGCAGCAAGCAGCCAGAATAAAGAGCTGATAAAAAAAGGGACTGTGGGGGACACTTCATGACATTTCAGAGATACTTTCCCCTGCCCCAAGAACTGTTTTCACCTTACAGACAAGGAAAATTCAATTACCATTGAGCAGCAGCTAAGCAGGCCTACACTCAATAAACAATAACGGTCTTTTAACATTGAAATAAACCAATACACAAGCCGGCTTCCACATGCACAGCCAATATGCTTACTCACATAAACAATCTATGAAAAACTGCTTGCTGCGTCACGCATAAACAACCTGTTTATGTTCTACTGTGGCTGGAGCCTGGATGATTAATGCCAGACGGAACCGTTTTATTGAGCTGTATAGCAAATATTGATCTTAATAAAGCAGGTAAATTAAATCGTCTTTAGGGAAACTAAAACAAAGCGCAAAAGATCTACCTTGGTAGACATAAAGACAGAATGATGAATAAGTGTTGATCATTGATAACAAGTCTAGTAAACAGCACAGCATTAGAAAGAAGAGTACAAAGATGGTAGTGAAGGAAAGTGTGATAGGCGCAGGAGAGATAGGAGGGAGTCCTTATTACAGACCACATCAATCTTTAAAATATGGCCAAAACACATAAATTACCTTCTCATAAAAATAGAAGCAACCTGCTCAGACCTGCCAAGCTCACACAATCAAACCAAACACTATTCTTCTGCTTCCTCCGCCCTCTTCCTCATTGCTTTGTCAATCCAACCAACTCCAAGGCTGCAATCTCTGTAGCAAAACTCAAGCGCCTTGGTAATTTTGAGGATGAATAGAGAGTGTGATGAGTACGGGGGAATGAGGGAGAAGGCTGAAGAGACCGGTTTCTGATTGAGGGGCTGCCTGTGATAACACTTCACCACGGAGTGCAATATGCGTGTGTTTGTGTGTGCATGTGAGTGTGTATGAATTGAACCAAAATGCACAAACGCTAAACAGCCAAATTAGAAGGACAGGTATCTTACCCTGCAATTTCATATAATTACCTGCTGTCAGTGAAGGATTTTTCAGCGAAATGCTTTAGCAATGTGTTGTTTGTTTCGTGGACCGGTGCTTTTTTCCAATTTAGTAGTAAACAGACTGTTTTTGGGTTCACATATGCAGCATATGACGTACTGCTCAATTGTCAGGATGGAGGTTAGCAAGTAGGTGTTTTATCGTTAGTGACTCTCAGAAAAGGGTACATGAAACGTAAATTAGCTTTTCAGTTTTGAAGTGGGCATTTTAATATGTGTAAACAGTTGTTTAAAGACTTCTGTGAATCAAAAGTAGGAGAGATATTGCATTTAAATTAGGGCTGTCAGTCGTTTAAAATATTTAATCGCGATTAATCGCATGATTGTCCATAGTTAATCGCGATTAATCGCAAATTAATCGCACATTTTTTATCTGTTCTAAATGTACCTTAGAGGGATATTTTTCAAGTTTTTAATACTCTTATCAACATATGAGTGGACAAATATGCTTTATATGTTTGTTTATTATCATTTGAACAATGACAAATATTCTCATGAATATTAAACACAACAACCTCTGAACATTGCAAATATTCGCTTCAACCTGGAACCTCTCATACAATAATACAATACAAAGTGTGTGTGTGTATGTGTGTGTGTGTGTGTGTGTGTGTGTGTGTGTGTGTGTGTGTGTGTGTGTGTGTGTGTGTGTGTGTGTGTGTGTGTATGTGTGTGTGTATGTGTGGAGACACTGTGATGGATCGTTGGAGCTATGTGCAGCTCAAGGCATATATGCTCGAACGGGAGCTGCCTGGACGCTGCAATCATGTTGCGCGCACTATCCGTGCTGAGTGTGCTGACTTTTCGTACAATGTCCCACTGTCTGGCTACCTGCATAAAGTCAAGTGCTCGGTGCAGTTGTCGGCGAAATGTCGCTCCTCTGTTTTCATTGAAACAGCTCCTTATATCCGTTAGCGCAGCTAGCTAGCACCAGATGCTAACAACAACAACAACAACACGTAAGGTGTGCTTCGCTCGCGCCACACATACACACACCCTCCCGGTCCTCCCGATGGCCAGTCCGGGCCTGCCGGTGAGCGTGGAAGTGTGGTCTGCCACTACCGGGCGGCAGGAGCGGGGCTGTCCGCATCAGCTTGTAGATGGTATTTTAAACTCGATGCGCTCTGAAACGGCGGGGCTGTCAGCTTTTTGCGTTAACGCGTTATTAACGCAAACGGAAATCCTCAAAGTCATCCCGCTTGAAGCTACAGGCTAAATTAGCTTCATGTATCTTCTGCAAATGCGTCTTGCATTGGCAGTGATACCTTCAAATAAAACTCAGATTTTTAGCCATGCTACTGGTGTTACTCTATGGACGGACATGTTGGTGTCAGTTTTTTGGGTCACCAATTTGGTCCAGACTAAATGATATCAGTGACTATTAGCTAACCGTTACATTTGGTTCTGAACTGAATTGATCCTCTGACCTTTTAATTGAGTGCCACTTTAAGGCTGACATTTGTGGTTTTGTGTGAAATATCTCAACTAGTGGATTTATTGGAATAATAATATGCACAGATGATGACCTAAGGATAATTCAGTTTAACTTTGAACCCCATTACTTTTTTTACCCATTTTGGTTTTAATTTGTGGGAAACTCTAGTCGACAACTGCCAAACTCACGCAACAGAATATTCCAGAAGCTAAATCCGCAGGTTAGCATTCAGCTCATAGCGCCTCTGTGCCTTAGTTCAGACTCTCTGAGCTACTTGTATGTCTGTTGAATCCTTATCTTGTTAAAATCTTGTTGAGCAAACGTTTGTGTTTAGGCGTCCACTGCTGACTCAGAACTTCTTTATAATTCTGGCTATTGCCACATCCAACCTCATTTTAAAACCATCACCACACCACAGACTTACAGAGGTCATGACGGGGGCGTGCAGTCTGTCAGTCTCAGCATCCTCCTTCGTCAGTGCAGGCGGTACGAGGACACCGACTTTCTGCAGGATTGATCTATAGGACAAACGGAGTGCTGTGAATAACAATGTTTCATTCCTAATCTTGTGTCTGCAAGCTTTATTTGTGGTGGGAGATACTTTTTACCTTTATGCTTCTCTGTGAGTTTATGTGTGTATGACTGTACCTTATGAAGGAGCTGGTAACGTGGAGCGGGAAAACAGTGTATGGCACTCTGAGGCTGTGACAGAAGAGTACCAGAGAGATGAGAGCACAGTCCACGACGCTCTGATGCGAATACACATAAACCAGCACAGGTCCCTGAGTTACAGAGGAGAAGCAGTTTTAGTCAAACAGGTCATTCATCATGGCAAACAATTGTGTTGTGCAGAGGTGACGCCTGGATTAGAGTTTTTCTGTGGCCTCATATTCAATCAATATTATAATCTAGCTCCACAAGCTTCAGATGACATCAGGAGAATGCAATGCCAAGAAAACATATTGAAAAAGTTGAAACCAACAGGCATACAAAATGTAATTAAGTTTTAAACTTTAATAATTAAGAAAGATGCCGACAGAGATTAAGGTTATACAGCTCTGGAAACAATTAGGAGACCACTGCAAAATGATAGGTTTCTCTGGTTTTACTATTTATAGATACATGTTTGAGTAAAATGAATGTTTTTCTTACTTTATTCTATAAACTACTGACAACATTTCTCTGTGTTGGAATTCAACAGTCACTGGAATGGAATGCTGCCATTCATGCAGAGATTGAGATTTCAGAAAGGTGACCGTACGTACTGTAGAGTGACAGCACACCCTGCTCCAAGGGCAGCAACAGCTCAATCATTCTGTATATTATGTGGCCCTTTTTCTTTTAGAAGCATTTCTTTTCTTCCATCAGAAACATGGAAATGAAGAGCAACTATGACAAACTCAATTATACTGTATATCGAGTGAAATGAAAGCAGACAGATAAAAGGGATTATGCTTTTGTTGATATCGTGGCACTACAGAAATAGGGTTTGCAAAAAACATGCAAGTATTCAGTATCTCACATGAAGTAGTTCTCTTTACCCTCATGTATGTGTGAATTAAACATGAGAAAATACTGGCAGAATCAGTTGGATAACAAAATCAATCAATCCATTTGCCAAGACACTATTCAAATTGAGTAAATAACAAAATAAACGCACCATATTCCACAAAACGAAAGTCCTTGTGGATTTGCCTTCATTTGCGTAATACACTGCATTTCAGTGAGGTTGAAATCAAAGATATAGTTCACTGGATTTATTCATTTCCATCGTGAACCTCTCCAACAGCAGCCCTGACTTATTACCTATAATTATTCAGTCAACCATGTAATTAGAGTTGTGTAGTATAAGGTGCAAGAAAAGGATAACAGTATAAAAACTATAATAAGGCAAGTAAGTACTTGAAAATTAACATTTCATTATTTTTACAGACTTTAAAAAATTGATTTTTAGGAGATGTGTACACAAAGGGCTGTAGCTGTTTACAATCTCATTAAACGGCTGAGCATATCCTGAGTGTGGATGTGTCGCGAGCCAAAACATCATATTAGTGGCAGTAAATGCAGAGTGGGCTTTTAATGTTTTGTGGCACGAGTTGACACCCTTTGGGCTATACGTTTATGGAAATGTAATCTTCTCTGAATATTAAAGTTAGCACATTGCGTCGGCATAAGCATGTGTGGGTTGATGGATACTTGCACCTCTTGTGAAGCTCTGTGCAAAGCCGGCAGATGGTTGAGGTTAACTTGAATACTGCCAAACACGGAAGAAAACATCTTCAGCAGCACCCAGCTCAGGAATCTAGCCAGGAGACGATAGTGGGTGGAGAGATGTATAGAAAATAAAGGGTACACAAATTAATGACTTGAGATAAGAAGGAGAGGGGAACAATGTACATGAGGAATCATAACCGGATAGAGATAGAGGCTAGATAGAAATCCGCCTATCACGTGATGTCGAGCAAAAGGGAGCTTTAGCAAAGAAAGTGAGGATTGAGTTAAGTGTGGCAACATGTAAACAAGGTAGATGGGAGTGAGACAACTAGAGGATAAGAAGGATAAGGATGAGAAAGAAACTGATGACATGGGAAAAAGCAAAATGGAAAACGATAAAGAGGAGTGTGTGAGGGTGAGGGCAATGAATAGAGATGAGGCCGAAGCTGTAAATGAGGGAGAGAAAGAGACGAGAACAAATAGAGTGCAGGGCAGATTATGAACAGCGATTTCAAAGACTAAACAAAAGCCTTAAAAGTATTTTAAGGAAAATTCCATGAGTTTTCACACCATTTCTCCAGACATTTGCAGAACTCAAAGCGACATGGACAGGCTCTTAAAACCTGACAGAACCCTCACACCCAATTTCAAATACAACACATATCTTTTTGCACAGAGCAACCGAAGTGTGTTGCATGTCCTCCACTGCCCATGGACAAGTTTATGCCTCAACAACTGTCAGTCATCTTGAAGAGCAAGTGGCTTACTGATTGATAGTCAAGCATCAGTATGGAGTTATGAACAATGTTCCATCTGACCAACATGATACTCAGTATATGAACCATTTCAGTTTCTCTTCTAGGCGCCATCAGGTAGCAAAAAGGATGGCATATTGTGCGTCCTCTAATTGATCATCAGTAAAAAATACATCCTGGTATACAGGAGCCTTTTGGTAGAAAAGAAAATCTAATCACTGGGCCTCAATCGGTTGATGGCGTCATCAGTGAAACTAAGCTAAATAAAGAATTCTTTAGAAAACCGATGAGACATTCAAGATAAATCACATTGTTGTTGTATTCTTGAGTAATTTGGAGAATATGGTGTGCTGTTTTTTTTCAAATTGCACGACAGATTGATTCTGAATTTGCTACAGTTGTTGTTCTCACTTCGACTGGCTTCCTCTTCACAGCAACAGCAGCCTATGCCCTTGGGTATTGTAGTACTTTAAGGATAAGGCACACAGTATTCTGTGCTTCTGTTTTCATGAACAAATCCTGTGAAAAGACCAAGGCCAAAAGTCCTTCTCTCACAACAGTCCAACTTCTCCAGCCTATGTGTCCCTACTGAAGAGGAAAAGCTTCAGAACATGTCCTGAATACAAACCTCCATTTAAACAGCTGGGGCTCTGTGTTTTTTTTTTTACACACATTACTAAAACAGTGAGAATGTATGGCAGCAGGATGGAGTATTAGACCATGTTCACCATAACAAAGAAAACATTGGCTCTCTGAGGTCTATGGCACAGATGAATACGTTTCATCAGGCTTTGGCAACACAGAAAATACTTGTTAGCAAAATAAATTCAGTGTGTATTGGTATATTCATGGGATTTGTTGACAAGAAAAATAAGACAAATATTGAATGTCACCAGCTTTATCCTTTAAGTTGCAGAACGGAATTTATGGGAAAAAAATTATTCTAATAAATGGAATCGCAGGGGCTTCACCTGTAGCGACCGCTCCTGCAGAGGAAGGGGGGATTTTGTTGTTTCAATCTCCATGAAATTGCAGTGTCTTGATGTCTTAAAAGTGTTTCTTAAAGCATTTGTTTTCATATTTATTGTTTTTATGCTGCCTTGCTGCAAGGGAATTTCTTCTTGTGGTACAACAAAGAGAATGAATTGTAGAAGAAATCTATTTTTGACTGGAGAATATATGCTATTTATTACTTGTAAGTAAAGGGTTGCATAGTGCAGCTTTAAATCAATACATACACGTATGAATTTCATAAATGAACAATTCACAGCAGTCTTTGAACCTTGCCCTTTGACCATTGGCCAACACACATAAAAACACGCACACTCACCGTAAGAGGCCAGAGGAGATGCTGGTGTTAATGAGGGGGAGGAATGGTGAGAGGTGGCTGAGCTGCCCCCGGCTGTCACTCCCCTCGGGCGCTTTCTGCTCTGCTGAGAGTGCCTCCTTCACACTGTAACCCATGGTCACAGGACAGCAGGGTTAACACATCACAAAGCCTCTTTTGTGCCACATGCAGACAAACACCCGCCTTCAAGTAAGACAACAACATCCCTGAGTAAAGAGGTTACATAAAGGTTAAACTCAATTATATCCAAGGAGAGAAAACAACAGATACAAGCTGGAGACTCAGTGACAGAGATAGAGAAAGTGTGACGACATTTCCTTTCATTCACCCTGTTAACACCCCATAATGTTCTTCATTTTCTGTATCTTTGTTTGTGTCTCTTATCTCCCCTCCTTCTTTCTCCATCCCTCGGTTTAGAAATGCAGGGCCCGTTTCATTTGCTGTATCTCTACCTATCATTTATTTACTCTCTTCTGGCATCTCTACTCCTCTCCTCCTCATTCTTTCTCCCCTCAGGTACCTGTTGCTCTGACAGACTCTCTCCAATCTGTTGCTAACAGGACTCGCGTAAACCTTGCACCCACTCACGAACAGCGCGCAGCACACCCTCCGCACCAGCCAGCCTCGATACCTGCGATACAAAACACACAATGCAGAGGCAGAACGTGTGCATAGGTGGGTGTGTTGGGACTGGAACATTTAATATCTTGTTGGACACTGTAGATGCAATCAATACCTGGTGTGGGTCTCTTTAACACTCAGCAGGTTGTGGAAGCCGAGGAATGAGTTTGGCCCGATCTTCTTGCACTACGCCATGGCAGAAAAACAAACAAAGATTACTGGGGGTCAATATCGACCCAGATCTAAGTTTTCCTATAGATGTACATGCAACTGAAAGATGCCATCTGAACGGGGCAAATCAAATCATCTTTCAGTAACCTAACAAAGCTTAGTGTGACATGTTGGGTCAGTGGGATTTCCTTCAGGCAATTGCATTTTCTGGAATGTGTCAAGATAGAAATCTAACTCTTTTATTTTTGGTTAACTAAAAAAGCAAGACTGTCTGTCCGTCCGTCCGTCCATGTGTGTGTGTGTGTGTGTGTGTGTGTGTGTGTGTGCATGTCTTTCGCTTATCCCAATAACCCTACATCAGATTTACTACACACTGTGCAAGTGTATTGCAGACGAACCAAGACAGTGCTTTGGAGAATTTGGAGAAATTTAGAACATTTCAATTTAATTAAACACATTTTCAAACTTTCCTCAACTCTCTTTCTCTAACATTCTCCCATGCTGCACACTCACCAGACTGTTGGGGGTGCACTGGTGGCAGCACTGGCCAACAGTCGGTCTGAATTTGCCCAGACAAGCAGGAACGATCAACTTTTTCTTTATTTTCATTTCCCATGACAACTGAGAGGGAAAGAAAAACAAACAAATCAAACAGACAAAGTGACACAATACACAGGTGTTGCAACCACAAGCATTTCAATGTTGAAGTGCCTTAGGTAATGTGCCTATAGCTTTCATTTTACAAACTGAACAGGCAATGTTGGCAGTGTAACAGGACTGGCACAAGAGGAACCGCTGTTTGCTATTAAACTTGTATGTCACATGACCCTGTTTTAAAAATAAAAATGATGGACAGTAAACTATGTGCAGTAATACGTAGGATCAAGCATGTTTTTACACATTATTATTTTATAAATGGTTAGCATCTTTGGTGATCCTCTTATTAAAGTAACTTTTTCCAGTGTGTAACAAAGCGCATGTTCATTTTGAAAATATACCTACTACAATCTGTGCATCTAAGAAAAGGGAGTGAAGTAGTCAATATTAGCTATTTACAGACAGTGTGAGCTAAATCACACAAGAAGCCTAATGCATATAAATTACAATCGGGTAGACAACTCGTTTGCATCAGTGTATATGATGCAATTGTGGCATTAAAGTGTGCCAGACCACCAAATGTGGGCTTTTACTGATATATTTTATCTCTGTGGGAGCATGCTCCTAGACTCCAACAGCTGGCTACACAATATCCAAGTGGAAATCCCTGATGACAGCACACATCCTGCTTGTGCTACTTGTTGGGAGAAAGCTTCAGATAAAACATAAAACAGTGTGTGTTGTAGCTTATAGTCCTAAAATACCACTAGTTGTTGGGGACCCACCATCATCTCTAATTGCCCCTCAATACAAAGCAGTCTAGAGCCTCACTGCCAAAAGTAATACAAGTCTGCTAATGATACAGCCCGTGCTAGATTAAATTCAGTTTTCTGAGTAACCTGATTTCTTTACGTAAACAAATCTAGTGTAATTGGAGTGAATCAGAAAAACAGAATTCCAACAACTATATTTATTGTGGAGAAGGCTGATTTATTGGCCATTCATATAATAAATGGCCACCTGTGTATTGTGTGTATAGACCCTCCCCCCCACACACAACAACACAGACTATAACACCCCTTGCTGTTAAATAGTAAATACCAACCGAATGTGCTATTATGTGCAATATATATGCCGTTAATAACTGTGCAATATATACCTGGCTGCTAAATCCTAAGAACTTTTACAGGATGTGTATTTTGTAAAGTGTGTAACTTTTTTAAATTATATTTGTTATTATATCATAATTTTGTTTTTTTTAACTTTAATACTTTTTTAATGCATGTAACATATGTAACATTAAGCTGTCTGTGGCTCTTTTTCTGCTGTAACAACGTACATTTCCCCTCTGTGGGACTAATAAAGGGATTCTGATTCTGATTCTGAATAACTGAGACCACTGAGTAGTGGGTCTGAGTCATAGATCCTGAGTCATGGATCCTGAGTCATGGATCCTGAGTCATGGATCCTGAGTCGTGGCTTTGCCTGTTGCTGTGTTCTGGCCAGATGCTCAGCTTACTACTTATTTGATGGCTCCCACAGGATTGTTGACATCGACCTGGAATCATCATCTTCTTATTTATAGACACATGCATTTTTAAGCATTTGGACTACCTATGTTGTAAATGTCTTATCTTTTTTAATTTACACACAACATCTATTGCCCCCCATTAACTGTGGGGTATCTTTGGAAGATCTTCCTTGTGAGGGTGAAGGTCCAAGGACAGAGGGTGTCGTATATATATTCTGTACAAACTGTAAAGTCCACTGAGACAAATGTAACATTTTTGATACTGGGCTATATAAATAAACTTTGATTGATTGATTGAATAACTGGGTTTCTATAAATTGTTACTGTAAACATGTGCCTGACAAAGACTGGGAGAGACAAAGAGTTGCTGTGACAGCAGTGGGACTCAACAAAGGACCATGGCACAAAGCAATTTGTCCTTACATTGACAATAATTCAAGCTACTAAAACACAAAGAAGCCTCCAAAAGTCTGATTAAGTAGGTTTTTTGTATCCACTGCTGAACAGTTCAGGACAAATTTGCATGTACTTTCAATGCCCCATTAGTTCACCAGCACATCAAAAAAATAAGTTTGGTAATCAAGGTCAGGGGTACAATGTTATTACTGACCCGCTGCTTGTATAAACAGGTTCGCTGTAGCTAATAGCTACTACTATTAAACATGCTTTTCGTTCTCTACCTGTGTGACCTGGTATCTCTCATTAACCCGGTGTCTTTAGTGCCAGCACGTACTGTCTGACAAGCTGACAAAGAAATTGGATTTTATTGTCGGCGAGCTACATTTGATTTCACGTCTCATCAAAACTACAACAGCGCTTGCAAATTAGAAAAAGATGGGGGGGGGGGGTGGACTGGGTGTACCAGTCAAATGCTTCAATTTTTTGCTCTTATTCCGAGTTTGTTTTGATGTCTGTGTTGCTGTGATTGGGTTAACTCTGAATTCATGGGGGCATGCAGCTTGCAGTAGTGTAAATATTAATACAGGGCCCAGATGAGACCCAGCATCAGGCAATCAGTGCAGGTATATACAGCTCATGTACTTAAGCAGAGGCCACACTGAGTACTAATCAGAGCTAAGGCCTCCTGTAGCATGTTGACTGCTGGTCAGGTGTTCAAATACTTGTGTTATTCCTTGATACTCACAAATTATCATGCAGCGTGCGTGTTGGCTGTAACTGTCTCTGAAATTAAGTGTTAGTTAGGATACAGACTGATTACCCTGTTCAGAGGAAATGAGCTAATTAATCTCCTAAAATCAATGACACTTTCTCCTGGCTAAATTATGATGATGGATTCCAGAAAACAGTGCAGCAAAAAAAGTTGATTTAGAAACAAACATTACTGTTATAAAAAAGCTTGGGATAGAACCATCAATAATTTAAGTGACCATGTTGCATCAGATGAAATGTATTGAGAGAAAAAGACCTCTAAGGTCCAAGGATAGAGGGTGTTGTAGGCTGAATAGATGCAAAGCTCCTTGAGCTAATAACAACATAGGATTTACTTAAAAATTGACCTAAATTAGAAAGAGTATGTGATACATGTTGGTAGGAGAAATTGAAGTATTATAAGGCTAGAACCAGATATCAGAATATGTTTGACAGCAGGGTATATGCAGGAATCCTGAGGTCAAATGTAATACCTTTAAGACCTTTTTTAAGACCCTTTCCATACATTTTGAGACATTGGCAACACACTTTACCTCACATTTACTATATACATTATTGATTGTAAGATAGCACAACTAAACAGTTTGTGACAACTCCTTATCATAATTCAGATAGAACAAAGCACAAGAGAATGAATTGTGTGACCAACCCAATGCATTGATTTAGGCATTGTTCCCAAGAGATAAAACAGACAGACTACTGAAGCCTCCTCTCCACATGAACTTCAACCTCTCTGTCAATGTCGGGTATAATGCAGTATGCTGCTTTTTTGCTTCTGTAGACAAACTTTGTGCTCTTTCATTCCAGTAAAACTCCTCAGAAACCATTAGAAACCAGTATTTGACCAATAAACAAAACAATTGACAAAACTTTGAACTATGAAATATATTAAATTTTGGTGAGCTTCAGCGGGGTAATGCCATATACTGTAGGGGTAGGGATGGGTATCGTCTGAAATGTATCTATTCTGATTCCGGTTCTTATCGATTCCCCGTTTCGATTCCAAAATTATAAAAGAAAGAAGTCAAACGTTTAGATAACAAAAATATCTTGCAATGCAATACAAATGTATTACACAATAGCTGTGCTTTATTTTTAACTGAGCTATGCCTGTGGCAAGCTATTAACTTGCCACAGGCATAGCAATGTGCCTTGTCTTTTTATTTTTTAGTGTAGTGGAGCCACACTTTAGAGCGTTTACCGCAATCCATCTTTGGTGTTATGAAGTGACTGAGCTCTTGGAACTGTCTACGGGAGGGCGGGGGGAGCCTCGCTGCGGGGAAACTGTAGACCTCTGTCGCCTGTCAGCGCAACTTACACAATGCCGTTAAAAGAAATAAGGGCGGTGCCGGCCGTCAGCGAACCGAGCCCGCCGCCAACGGCCCGCTGACGACCCGCTGACGACCGGCCGTTCTGTGATTCTCCAGAACACACAGATGGCCAGTCCGCCCCTGTATTCCACCGGGTCGCCGCGGCGCAGACGGACCCGGTGGAATACAGGGTCTACCACGTTTAGGAATCGTTAAGCAGAACCAAAATTGTGTATTTTGTATGGGTACCCGGTACCCAGCATTTTCTTATCGGTTCTCATCTGGAACCGAGTTTCGGTTCCCAACCCTATATAGGGGCTCCCTCACAAATACCCAGTGGTTCAATTGGGCCGGGGCTGTCCGGGGTTAAGCCCCGGCACATAGGACGATGCTCTGACGTCATCACCCTCGCACATTTGTCATATGTTTACAAAAAACGATATATATCTTAAGACTTTTCTCGTTCTTAATATAGACTATATTTAGGGTCGATATGTGTTGACTTTACTTTAAAATAGCAGATCTCTGTGACCGGATATAGTTTTTTTGGCTTAGTGAACGTGTGTGTCTCTTCCTTGGAGGAGCAGCATCGCCCGGACTCCGCTGCTCCTCCGCGGCTCCTCCGCGGCTCGTCCGTGCAGAAAGTCTGCACTGCAGCCGTGTGTGTCAGCGACGTGCAGTCAGGGGAGGCACGGATTGGCCATCGGGAGAGTCGGGACTTAAACACAAGCTAAGCTTAGTGCCTCCAGGCTGCAGCCCATACTTTGTACATACACGGACATGAATCTGGTATTGATCTACTCATTTAATGGCAAATAAGAACATTTCCCAAAAGCTTTTTCTCTAAAAAGTCCTTCATTCTCTGCTGAATCAGTATGACTCACTGATACACAGCACATCCTGTGATTTTCTTTTTAAACATCAAACAGAGTAAAGCACATGGGGCTGTGCATGTTCTCTCGTGATTGTGAAGAACAAAGACTTTGAGATGGGTGCATGTGGAGTAGAGCGGGAGACGACATTGGGAGAGAGTCATGCAGGCAGTGTACTTACAGCAGGTCGGTTTTGTTGAATGGCTGGAAGGATCATGTCTTTGTCACTCTTCTCCTGCCCCATGGTGAGCTGCCTGCAGACTGCTACTGGCAGATCTAACAAAGGAAAGAAACATTATACAGCGTTAAAACAATCTCACAATACAAGACCAATTTTGTGACGTAGAGAGGGCAGTGCTTTTATAAAAGGTTAATCTTTCCAATTTATGGAACACACACACACACACACACACACACACACACACACACACACACACACACACACACACACACACACACACACACACACACAACACACACACACACACACAACACACACAACACACACCACACACACACACACACACACACACACACACACACACACACACACACACACACACACACACACACACACACACACACACACACACACACACACACACACACACACACACACACACACACACACACACACACACACACACACACACACACACACACACACACACACACACACACACACACACACACACACACACACACACACACACACACTGACATAAAATGAAGTTTGTCCTCTGATCGTTGTCATGGAGAGTCGGCAGCACTCACCTACCTATCCTCCTACGTAGCCTACCTATCCTCACAGCTACATTTCACCTATCTAACCGTCACTTATTCCCTCACCCCATCTAAAAACCCTCCCTTCATTTTTTCCCCAGTTAAGGTAAAGTAGCTTCCTGCTGTGTGTTTACTCACTGTTGGTTTCCCCATTGTTTACACTTATTGGACTTATGGTCAACTTTACTTTAAAAGTTTCGTGCTCACTTTTGTATTCAGGAAGGAAAAACCTTTGAACAGAAATGCTATTAAGAGATAAGAGATGGAGAGGAACTCACAGCTGTCTTAGTTCAGCAGTATACAGGTGGAGCAGGGCAAACGCTCAGTAGTGGGTTATAAATCATTAAAAGCAGGCTTCATAGCCATCAGCAGGAAAACAGCTCTTATGTAACTGATGCTGGTCCCTTTCCCACTCGGAAACGCAATAATGAGAGTTGGCAACATAGGTCACAATGTAATTTGATCTAGTTTAAATAGGTTACCTAATTGAAAGCGTTGGCTGTGTCTGAGCTCACATCAGTAATCATCTGAGATTAAGGTGGATTTAATGCAGATCAAGAGGCAGTGTGCACTCGAAAGAGAAAGCTATGAAAGCCACCGTCCTGAGACTTTTAGTTTCATGTAAGGCTTTGTGTCAACTACAAAAGGATGAAGACGTAGCCTGCTGTCTTCCTATAGCACAAATCTCGCTGTGGTTGCACCTGTCAAATTCAGCTGTCTAATTAGGTTCAATAGTAGACGTATCTTTTTGCGTCTCTGTGTCCTACTCTGCTCCATTAACTTTGCTAATTAAAACTTAAGCCTTCCCCATCGGGAGATGCTCCATTTCAACTGGCTTAAGTTCCCACATTCATTACCAAATCTGGTGGGAACAACGGCATTGACAAAAGGGTCCCAGTGCTGCTTTGATGTTTCGCAGGTGCAGAGGGTGACACAGCAGGAGAGGCAACAAAACAGGTAGTAAAGGGTGTAACACTGTAAAGCAGCAGCTCTAAAACGGTTGTACTCTAGAACAGGGGTTCCCAACCCCCGGTCCGCGGACCGGTACCGGGCCGCGGAGGTGTTACTGCCAGGCCGCGAAATAGCTGTGGGTTTATCGTAATATTTGCAGAATTATAAATATATAAAAATATTTTATCATAATATTTTCGCACCTATGCTACCAGTCATATTATTTCATCCAGTAGCTAGTTAATCTTTCACCAGAAAACCGTTGAAAATGGCTTTTATGATGTTCCGAGGGATTCGGCGGCTCAGCCTAAGGTCTCAGCCTCTTGTGCGCACGAGAATGTTACCGGTGCGCCAAGTAGGAAGAGGAGCGCACAGGAGACAACCGTTTGATTGCAGACTGTTATGTTTATGTGGGGAAATGGTATGGGCTCAGAACAATCTCATAATACACACATGCACACAGAAGGATTCACACTTGTATTTCATGATCCGCAAAAGGATCCACACTTGTGTTTTTCAATGCACACAAATGTGTTCCGTTTCATATACATGTAAATAAAATCCAAATACAGAAAAAAGTTTTACATATGTATTTTTGATCCTCACATATTTGTTTTCCGTTTAAAACCTCTGAACCTGCAAACACAACCCGCTTTCTGTGCATGGATCGCTGTGCATTCGTGTGTCCAATCACATGAGCGCGCCCCCACGAGGGTAGATTTCTTGCGTTCATGACGTAGCGCTTCATGTACGCATTTTGCGCTGTCCGGAGCTGACAGGTCCATGGAGCCTGCCTGCAGACGCTAATCTCAGGACACTTCCACTCTCAGTACATTGCCACTTTCCGAACAGGAAATGCACGCAAATACAAGCCTTTATATTATTAAGGTACAGTGCCACTTTCCGAACCATTAATGAATGCTTGTGTACACAAAAACGGCAGGCAAAACCGTTTTAAATGTGTGTTTCCTGTATGGCGAATACAGCTGCTTTATTTAAGTCTGTATGAAGTTGTTGTGAGTGTGGAGGGAGCAGCTACAGGTTAGCTTAGCCTAATCGATCAGTGCACTACGAAGCCAGTGCTAGACAGTGAACTGTCAACGGGGGGAGCCCCGCCTGTCATTATCGGCCGATATTCACTCTTAATAGTTTGATCTGTGCTCTCTATAAAGGCCGATCAGGAGAGCTGGATCTGATTGATATGGACATAAACGCGAGTGAAGTTTTAGCGAGCTGCATGAGAAACTGACGGGCTGTCAGGAGAGAGGGAGGGAGAGAGGAAAAGAGGATCCGTTACTCCCGTGTTATTAGCCATATCCGGTCATAGTCCGGTAATTACCTGCTAACGGAAACTCTGCTACACAATTCTTCTTCTTCTTATTATTATTATTATTATTGAAACATGACCGGTAAGTTTCAAATTTGTCCGGTAAAATTAATTCTGTCCGCGGAAACCCTGCTCTATAAAATAAATGCGTATATGAAGTGTCATGAACGCAATAAATCATACCCTCGTGGGGGCGCGCTCATGTGATTGGCTTAGAATTGAGGAGACATCTGATTGGCTATAGATAGAAAAAATTACAAGTACGAATGGGTCACTGTCAGGGGAGTCTCAAAAAACCCACACACGAATGCACAGCGATCCATGCACAGAAAGCGGGTTGTGTTTGCAGGTTCAGAGGTTTTAAACGGAAAACAAATATGTGAGGATCAAAAATACATATGTAAAACTTTTTTCTGTATTTGGATTTTATTTACATGTATATGAAACGGAACACATTTGTGTGTGCATTGACAAACATAAGTGTGGATCCTTTTGCGGATCATGAAATACAAGTGTGAATCCTTCTGTGTGCATGTGTGTATTATGAGACTGTTCTGAGCCCATAAAATGGTGGTGCATACATTATTTGAGATATATTTCAAACTCGGACTTCATTTTAAGGACATGTCGGCCAGGGGTGTAGAGCTATTTGTTTAAGCACCGGATTGGCAAAACAGGAGAATAAACCAGTCTGCCTTGATCTATGAATTAATGTCCGGGACTCTCACGGTATCTGCTGCCCACAGCTGTTTTATAGAAGGAAACCCTCCTTCACTTCATGAAATGGCTGCAGCATCAGGAGGCAGCGGGACGTATACTCCGCCTCTGAGAAGTGCAGCACCAGCGGGTAAAGCTGTGCCTTTTTACGCACCGCATTCGCTGTGTTTAACTTCATCAGAACAGAGTGACTGCAGGCTGCTACGTGTTAACCACACACCTCTACACACATCTCTACACACATCGAACTGCCCGATTACTCCCCCTTTTATTAGTTTTATGAAGGAGATGTCCAGTCAGTCACCAAGGCGCATGATGTGTGTGTGTATGTGCTCTGCTCAGCTCTGTGTGTTCGTTGTGTTTGTGTCTGTCCGACACCGGCATTTGTTTTCAAATGTTTATGAACAGTAATTTACACACATATGGCTAACTCCATAGATGTAGCACACACACACACACACACACACACACACACACACACACACACACACACACACACACACACACACACACACACACACACACACACACACACACACACACACACACACACACACACACACACACACACACACACACACACACACACACACACACACACACACACACACACACACACACACACACACACACACACACACACACACACACACACACACACACACACACACACACACACACACACACACACACACACACACACACACACACACACACACACACACACACACACACACACACACACACACACACACACACACACACACACACACACACACACACACACACACACACACACCACACACACACACACACACACACACACACACACACACACACACACACTCTCTCCTCGTTTTCCCAGCATTCACTGGATTATCCGTAAATCATACAAACAAAACCAAAACGTTGATTTATCTGTTTTCCCGTTTTGGATTAAAAACTTGGCACAATAAAGGTTGGGAACCCCTGCTCTAGAAGGTAAAAAAGACCACATGGAAACAGCTAGACAGCAGTAGGCCAAGGCCAAACGTGTGAACGAATACAATCAGAGTTTCAATTTCCTCGCACAGTCATACCTGTAAACATATGAACATATTCATTCAAACTCTGATTAGTAGAAACGTGAAAGGTATTCAAATCTGCGCCACACGTTCCTCCACACATTTATGCTTACTTAGTTCATTCCCTCCTCAGAATCTAATTGATCAATTATAGTCTTTAATTAATATGCTGTAGCTTGCTAATGTGATAGCCCAAGACCTAAGTGGGCCCATGATGAGATAGGATTAAAAATCAGAATCCATTACGAGCTGCCAAGTCAGATTAGATTGGAATACATTTTAACGCAGCAGTCGATGTGATGTCGAGGTGGGTGCGTTCAAGTCTATTCCCAAAACTGCTACTCTTCAGTGATTAGAGATGGGGTTTAAATACACTACGGGCCTATTTGAAAAGGAGACAGACATGGAGTTAAGAATTTAATTTCGATAAATAT